TGAGCAATACTGTGGTTGAATGTTTATTTAAAGTAAGTCCGAGAATCCTATTATCAATCTTTTTGCTTTTATTCGCAAGCAGTAAAATGTTCTAATCTGTATCGTCCCTTTCTTGTGGTCTATTATCCACATTTTTTACTAAACATTTGCAGTTATTTTTTACGATGCCTTTGTACTCGAATTGAGAAATAATACGTTTAATTTTTCACATCGATGGTATAGTTTTAACAGGAAAATAAACTGAAAATATTGCAGTCACTGCTCTGAGACTGTTTCCTGCAAAATACCATTTAATTATGGTTACTTTTTCTTGAGTTAAATAACACACAGTTAACCTTAATTAAAACGCGAGTTAAATAACATGACCGACGGAGTACATTTTAAAAAAAGTTTATTTTCGAAAAAGCAGGGCTTTTCTTAAAACTAAAAACAAACAATGAATGTGAACACCGAAGGGCTTTGACACTACATTTAATATTACACGGGAAAAGGTGACAGTCGATTTTATATGGCTGAATCGTTGATTCAGCGTCTATTCAGCAGGATGCGTCCGGTCTAGGGACATTTCTCCTCCTCCCTTAGATTCTGCAACGTCCTCGTTGATGAACCTTTCTAGGGTTTTGACAGGGATGGACTCTAGGAGTCTATGTTTTCTTCATTGGTAGAGCATGTTGCTGGAACTAGTCAGGAGAACTATACGCAATAGTGAGAAAATTAAATAGTAATATGTTTGGTTTTGGTGAACCAATCCTTCAATTTTCATCGGCTCTATAAGGTCCTCTTGAATAAGGGTTGGATGCTCTAAGTGTTTCATTTGCAGATTTATGGTGAGGTTGCTTGGTCGTTTCCGGATACTAAATGAATATATTATTTATACCCAAGGAATACTTCTTGATGATAACGTCGCATTGACTCTGGATCAGGGAGCAACCTTGAAGACGTTCTTTTTGGAACTGGAAGCAGTCTTCGTATACTAGTTCCGACGTCTTTGCACAGAAGAGTAAAACATTTTTAAATGTGATAGTATGCACAAGAAAGTTGTTTTGTAATGATTTGAATACAATCATCTTGAATTAACTATTTCGCAATGTTTATACCACAGGTTATTACAATAATGTTTACTAGGGCTAATTAACATTTTCGAATCATTGTTGGGTATTGGATACACAATTTGTAAGTCGCAAACATTTCTTTCGAAAATAGGTATTTTAATTGCGAGAATTGCCATTTCACTCGTAATTACAAAACCGGTTTTACAAACTATAGTTAATTCGGAAATATGATTAATAGGCCATAGGGTATTTTTAGGGTAATGCATTTTCAGGTATTGCCAAAATTACGTTTATTTCGTCAGAGATCAATATTTCGAGATCTAAGATTTGTAAGTGCACAAATGAAAATACTTGGAGCAGTTTTTCTAAAAATTGATTAAGGTTATTTATTTGCAAGTGTTGATCTTTCAAAAGTAAAACTAGATTAATTTGTTCATTTGCTTTGAGAACTTCGGACCTAACAATGTTGGTATTTTAATTTATAAGTTCTACATTTCATTTGAACTTACTCATTATATTTCCAGCAAAAGAACTTAGTTCATTGATTTTACACATTGAATTTAGTTGATTTTGCTTAAGTATTTCTACATTTTGCATAATCGTTTCCATGTCATTATTATCGAGATTTCCGGTGATGAACTTAATACCGCTGCCAAGAAAGTTCATTAATCCTCTTTTCTTGCGGTTATTCAACTCATAAATGTTGAGATTTGCGTAAGTATCGTGAAGTGAAATCGATAAGACATCGTCTAGATATCTCCTTAGTATTTTTATTTTCATTTTTACTTTTTGTGGATAGCAATTGATACTACTGTTCTAGTTCATGTTTATAAACTCAGATGTATTCATTTATATAGTTGTCTTTTTCTTCCATTCCTTGGCCCTTTTTTTCGTATCAGCGAGGCAGGTAATGTTAAATATATTCAAGGCTTTAACTGGACTTATTGTTATAATAATTAGTACAATAACATTAGAATAGCAAAGTTACTGCGAAATTAGAAGTCATCATATCACACTGACCTCTGTTGCGCCTCCGTTTTGTACCGGTTTTCCCAGTAAGGGCAACTAGGTACGATATCAGAAGTTTCAAAATACTAATTTATTAAGTAAATCGGTCAAAAATTGAGCATTCACTTTATGATCAAAACTACGGAAAGATAATAAAAATTCTTTAAGGGTGATATATAGTAATAGTATATCTATGTCGTAAGTATTTCTAAATAATCGCAATAATTCTAGTGATCCCACATAATTAATTAATTGGTGATTGAACACGATGTTGTTCAACACTAATCACTTTTGAACGGCTTTACGAAACGGTTATTCGTAATTCGTTGAGTGTTGGAGTTCGCAATGTGTTCAAAAATATTGAAGTGGCATATGTCTGTGAGAAATGAGCTTAAATCCTACTTCAGTGAATTTCAGTTAAATAACTTCTTTCAACAACAACGCTAGAGGTTTCAAATAAATTATTAATTTGATATGAATATATGAACTTATAAATCAAAAGACCAATCTGAAAGCTCTTGATGTAAGAGTATACGGAAGGTCAACATGTTTATCTCTAAAATTTCAAAATCATAATTTTTCAAACTCATAGTTGCGAGAAGGTTTGGCCAAGTGGAGGACAGGAAGTACTGATGGACCAGACTAAATATAATTTTTCAAGCTTGAACAACGAAAGTACTAGGACTTTTACCACACAAAACTAAACGGAAGGTTGACAAAAACGCATTGTGAGGACATCCACCAGCACTATAGATGTATTAAGGAATCTCTTTATGCAGCAGCAAGTGAGGCTTGTCAATCTACGAGCCAGAATAAAGTCGAACAAATTAAGCAAATTAAAAAAAAAACAGAAAAAAAACATAGCAGATCCGTCAGCTACCAAGCAGATGTATATAAGACACTTTCCAACGTGCGCAACCAAATGTGAGAAGATTAATATGTTTCCTCAAAAAACGAAGCAGGACAAAAAACTGCTGCAATATAAATACTTATTTGGGAAGCTCCAGAACTTTCTTAAAACATTAAGACAAAACAAGAAAAGAAACACATTATCCCCAGAAAAATTGGACACTTCTTAAAGAATATAGACCTCACTTTCTATGATTAAGATGGTGCTCTCGTTAAAACAGCTGAACCTCTCATTAGGTTGAACTGTGCGAAAGTTAGAAATATCCTTAAATCTTTATAAAACCGGCTAGACCTGGAAATATACCGCTGAATTACTAAAATAAGGCACAGAGAAACTGCTTACAGGACTTACAAGACTATTCCAAAACTATATCAATGGGGCTGAACCACCATCAGAATGGAAAATAGTATATAAGACGACTATCCACAATAAGGGAAACAGAGGAATGAGACAATTATAGAGGCATAACAGTACACATAGCCCGAGTATACGGAAAAATATTCATAAAGAAAATTGAAACGACTTGGAAGCGGAAGAGCTGGATGGATCTTGGTTTATGTGCTTACAAAATCCAACTCGGACAAGAATTGAGGCCAAACGATAATCAAGTAAGGCGTAGATTTGTCGAATGGGCCCAAAACGAGATTGCCGTTGTTCCCGATTTTCATAGGCGAATTTTGTTTAGCGATGAAGCGCACTTCTGGTTGAATGGCTTCAAAAACGATGATGGCCAGAACGTTACAGTCAATGGTCATCGGTATAGAGCTATGATTACAAACTCTTTCATTCCTGAATTGAATAACCATGATGTCCAGGAGATGTGGTTTCAACAAGACGGCGCAACATGTCACACAGCTCGTGCCACAATCGATTTATTGAAAGACACGTTTGGTGACCGCCTAATTTCATGTTTTGGACCTGTGAATTGGCCTCCAAGATCTAGTGATTTAACACCGCTAGACTACTTTCTGTGGGGCTATGTATGGGGATAAGCCACAAACGCTTGACCATTTGGAAGACAACATTCGCCGTGTTATTGACGATATACGGCCACAAATGTTGGTAAAAGTCATCGAAATTTGGACGTCCAGATTGGACTACATCCGCGCCAGCCGTGGCGGTCATATGCCAGAAATCATATTTAAAATGTGATGCCACAAGATTATCTTTCGGATAAATTAAATTCATGTCAATCGAATCGTTGTTTTATTGCAACTTAAAGTTCTATACATCGAAAAAAAAACACCCCTTATAAAAGGCCGGAAAATGTGTATTACAAATGACGAAACCACCGACGAAGCTATAAGAGACCGTATAACATCAGGACTTAAAGCCATAAGCACATTAAACAGCGTACTCTGGGACAGAAATATATTTCGAAAGCCAACACAACAAACGAATACTATCATCAAAAACATAATTACATCTGGAAGTGAGGTATGGCAGATCAAGCAGAGGGCCGAACTCACTAAATGCAATCGAAATGGATTTTTTTTTACGTACTACGGGAAGGTCAAGAATGGAGAGAATAAGAAGCGAAATGATCCAGGATATCATCGAAGTAAAACGTACCATAGTGAACGACATCCAGTTAGCGCAATTAAAGTGGTACGGGCACATAGAGAGGATGAATGAAAACAAATTACGCAAACAAGTTAAAAACTGGAAACGGTAGGGTAAAACAGAGGAAGACCCAGAACGAGCTGGAAGGAAGGGATAGCCAATCAAATCCGAGAGAAAGACCTGGAAAAATCTATGTATCAGTGGCGAGTGTAGATCGGAAGACACCGGAAAATGTTTTATCCCCGATTTTGTATACATAATTAGAGTTTTAGACGAAAGCGATGAATCTAATTTATTGCCTACTATCAATCGCTCCTTGTTTTGAATAAAATGGAGTACACAGTTTTGAATGGAAAGTTTTATTCTAAAATATTAACAATAATGACAAAAATGAATTGAAATAAGAGATAATCCTCGTAGCAGAATTTCGCGCCATTCTTCGCTTTCCTTTCTTTATAAACTCCAAATGATAATCGACTCTGGTGTATACGCCGGGATTTTTAGGTTTTCCACAGTCCAGTCCCCAGGAAACCACGCCTATTTGAACATTATCACAAATTAAAGGTCCCCCCGAGTCGCCCTGTAATTAAAACAAACCAAATATATTAATTTAGCTAATATAGAAACAGCATTCTATATGAAAGCTTTTTCTATAATATTCTTCTACAAAATATGCGACCGCAAATAGTTCTCAACATACTCAAAATCCTCCACTCAGAAGTCAAGGTCTTTATTTCATTACAAAATGATGTGTTTCGCCATTAGGCCTATAAAAAATAATTTACATCAATTTGTCAATACAGCAAGAACAGGTTTTTCATTTATATTTTCACACCACACACACTTTATTATAGGGAATACGCAAAAACTTTTACATAAAACATGATTTTTTTTTAAGGTAAAAAATAAAAACAATAGGCGCCGCAAGTGTATACAAAATTAACAACTTCAATTTTTAAAACTGAACACTCTACAACTACTTCTACCTAAGATGAAGGTCCTTTTAAGCCCGATTTCAAAAATTTGTTGGTATTTGGTTTAGTCGTTTTTGAAATAACTCGAGTTTTTACTTTTCACAAAACCTCTGGATTTCTCCTGCGTCGGTTTTTGTTGAGTCGAACTTGCTAACGCCAATCATCTTGTTGGCTTCTTCAGAGCTTAACTCAAACTGGCTCGCATTTTACTCTGTATCTGTTTGAGGGGGGCGGAGCTAAATGAGCGATATCAACGCCGTCTCGAATCGCTGATTCCCATATTGGTGACAGATAAGCACCTGAGTCGTGGTTAAGATTGTTAGGTTGCTTATTTTTCGTTGGTAGACGAATTGATTAAATGCAAGAATTTTAGTAATATCGAATCAAATTTTATGTCCGGTTTAGTGATTGTGTTGGGCAGCTGCCGATGAGTCTATTTGTCTTAGTCTTAAGGCTCTTTCACTTCGACATGTATGGAATGCAACCTTAAATATGTTATTAAGGCTGTTTTATCAGACTCCGTGAAAAAATCTGTCAACATTTTCTTTAGCACAATATCTAGCTTCTTTATTAGACCATTTTTGAGAAACTAAAACACCTTACCTCTGCTCTTCTTTCCAATAATTTTCACATTGAAGATATTAACCGACCCATCACAAAATACACTTCACCACTACCTTCCAGTAGCTAGGCTCAAATATGTACAAATAACATGAAAGAGCCTTAAAGCTAAGACAAATAAATTCATCAGCAGCTGCTAAACACATTCCCGAAACTGGACATAAAATTGCCTTCGATAAACCTAAAATTCTTGCATATAATCAATTTTTCCACCAACGAATCTACAAGTAACCTAACAATCTTAATCGCGACTCAGGTCTTTACCTGTCATCAATATGGGAATCTGTCATTCGAGACGGCGTTTATGCCCCTCATTTAGCTCCGCCCCACGTCAAACAATATATAAGCAGGTACAGAGTAAGTTAAGCTCTGAAGAAGTTCGACTCAACAAAAACTGACGTAGGAGTTTTTAAAAAGTTTTTAAAAAGTATTACAGTAGCCTGTGGAAGTTTCTTTGAAAATTTAACTCGAGCTTTTATTCAAAAGTAGAATTTAATCAACATCAACCTTTGAGAAATGTCTGGCGCAACATTATATGACTGAGCAACGTCCTGGTGCCATACAGTTTTCTTCTATTACTGAAGAGGTATATTCTCTAGCAGGTTTACTGCTTTGTTTTTTTTTGTAAAGATTTTTAATGACCCGGTAATGCTATTTTTAAATTTAGTTTTAATTTAAATAAATTTATTACTGCGAAAAATTTGTAAGTTATTAATTTTTCCCAATGATCTGTTCATAAAATTTGTAGCACCGGAATTTTATAGGAAATTAATGTAAATCATTTTTTTGTAACATTACTTTAAAAAAATACCTTAGAAATAAAGCAGCGTTTTTAATTCTTCCTCCTAACTTCAAACCACAGTTCTTGATTTTTCTTAACAATTTTTGACTCGTCATATCGACGAACAATGCCTTTTATCGTATTTCTTGAAGGCATACGTTAACGGGGAAAACGTTAGTGATAAGTTTTTGTTCAGGATAATAGCCACGATCTAAGCGAACGCTATTTTCGACAACATTATAGATAAACTCTTGTGTGTATTAACTCGAAATGAATACGATTGGTGCAAAATTTCCAAAAACTCATCTCAGTGTTGATCTCAATTTACGTGTCAAAGGGATGGAGGGGACTTTTGCAAAACGACTTCCAGGAGATAAGAAGTCAACTTCATAGTGTGCTTGGGAGTGCAAATACTAACTAGTGCTTTGCGGCATTTAAAAAAGGTTGTAAATAAAATCAATGTCTTTGGACACAATGTAAAACAGGATCTTGCTGGTGTTTAAAATGACATCGAAAATAGAGCTTTAAAAAAAATGAAGGTCTCTGTCAAGTATTTAAAAAAAACTTGATATGAAGATTAACCAAAGTGATATAGCCTTTTGTTATCGCATGGGTAAAAATAATGCTCAAGAAAAAAAGACAAGTCCAATTTCAGTGGAATTTATTCATCGATGGAAACGCGACAATATTTACAGTAACAAACCTAACCCAAAACTATCTTTTATAGTGGCTGAGTGAAAAATTTGAGGTCAGCAAATTAAATTTATTCAAAAAGGTGCCTTCAAAAATTGATACGACATCCTGTTGAACTTGAACGGGTATTTAATTTCTTGGTTGTCGATTCCAATGAAGCAAAGAAACCTATTACGTCAGAGAACGATTTGAAGTTTGAAGAATTTTCTACTGTAGAATCTATTTGCTTAGTTTAAGCGTTTTTTTTTCTCATTTATGTTGATATTTTAGCAGGTGTATTTTTTTGTTGGTTAGTTAAAACTTTTCAAAGCGATAACTTGAGTAACAAACAATTAACAAAGAGAAAAAAAACAACAAATATAGAATTGAAACAAACTATTGTTAACAACCACCAAGAGGTTTAAAATATCTTTAATAACTTCTTAAAAATAACTTATAGTATCATACAAAAAATTAAAACCAAACGGACAATAATTAACTATCAAATAACTTACCACCTGAAGCTCAGGTACAATCCAATGGGGTCCTCTAGACATTCTAGAGTATTCGATTGAAAGAATAATATACTTTCTTTGAACGAATATAATCAAAAGCCTAGAATCGGGAGGATACCCTGTTGGTATTTTTTGTAAACTCAGTAGGGCGTGTTATTCTATTGATCACATCATACATAAATATAGTAGAGACTACTGCTATAAATTCATCTTCGCATTATATGGTGATACTTTCATCGTCAATTCAGATAAGCGCAATTTTTTCTTGCAAAATAAATGCAACGTCAGTAACTGGTCTAACAGTAGAATTATGCTTTTAAATCCCGATAATATAACGTTTCCCCCTCCAGAAAATATGTTCTAGTCTCATCGTTGCATTACCGAGTTCTCGTTCTAGTAGAAATTTATTTACTATATACAAGATGCTTTCCGTGCCAAGTTTGTTCATATATAAAAATAAAAATAACAGTAATCAAATTAAAGATAAAGGTTCTTTAAAACCAGTCATCTAAACAAAATTCAAATAACTTTTGCCACTGTCACCCTGTATATTAAGGAAGCAGGTTTTTAATCGCCTTCCTGATGATATAAAATGTGACCCTTTAAAAACTTTTGAAATAAAATTGAGGCTATATAATAGGCTTGATAATATGTTAAATTCATTTTTTAGTAAACAACAACATTGAGGGTCTGTTTATCATTGTAAAACTTTTTTTTTTCTATTCAACCATTCCTAAACAAATTGTAAAAAAAAATGTCTGAGTGGAAAAGCGTATTGTAATGAACCATGAAATCATCACTTCAATTTCTTATCACCAAGCATTCAGTGAAGTGTCTTGGAAATTCGCATCATATTTGTTAAATGACAAAACACAAAATGTGATACCTAATCAATCAACCCCTATGCCTTTGGCTGTTAACAAGGGTAGTATTTTAGTTCTACTTCTATTTGCGCTTTTAACATGGAGGTTTACAGAATTACGATAGTTTAGTAATTATCATTTTTATGTCCATGACGTTCAATTGAACTTTCTATTTCCAAGGAATGCCTTAAGGAAACAAGCAATAGTATTGATTTGAATAAGTTTTACGATTCTGTCACGCAACATAGTCCTACTTAATCATAACAAACACTAAAGTTTAGACAGTGAAAGGTTGCATACAGTAATCTGAAATTAATTTATGTAAGTCTTAACTGTCTTCCACAGGATATCAAAAGGCTTCTTTGCGATACTCTAGTACTATCACAGTTATGAAGAAGTTGAAAACTTCGGTCTTAAACTGGTATATGAAATTAGACGTTAGAGTTATATTTCGTCATATCTGTTAAGATCAGGTCTGTTGAATATATTCATTCGATATAAACTTCACGCCATATTATTCAATTGCAAAATCATTCAATGTGTGACACCGGCTTTTCTGTACAACAAGATTAGATCTCCGTAGATGGGGTCACCTTACTGTGTCATAGCGTCGAAAAGAGCACTTGGTAAATGTAAATATGATTAGTCAATATGCCTCCTTGCAAGACTTTTCCTTCACTCTAGTAGCTCCCAAAATGAAGTTTGATAATTGCCCTCTGGGTAAGCAGAATCCATACCAACATGATTTCATTTTTGCGTCTACCTAATTAAACCCGTACCTCCTGGTTAATAATTCCCTCCCACTCCCATTCTGAGCATTTTTTGTTCCTGTATCTGTTAATTTAATGCTAAACTTTGGCCTTTAACCGTATCGAAATGTGCCAGATGTGGGACTTTCTTAGCTTTGCTACCAAAATTTATAGTAATCTAATTTTGTTAATGTAATTGTTATTAATGGCGAAAGCAATAAATCCATTAATTATTGAACTGAGGTGGCTTTTACTTGAAATCCATTTATCAAAATAAATTAGAACTAAAAGTTCAGATTTTCACGAAATTATATATTTTTACATGACAATTGTTTCGACAACACCGTGTCTTTATCACATGTGAACATCTGATTTGATAAAGACACAAATCAAAGAATGCTGAAGACAGAAAATCTGACCCGGTAACGATATTGGCTTTCCATTTCAAATCAGTAAGAATGGTAGCGAGAATTTCTAAACAATTTGGATGATGCCAACCTTATGCGGATAATTCTAAAATTTTAGTTAATCATATATCAAACCAATCAATGCCTTAGGAGATGGATATGCGTTATTCCTTACGGTTTCAGCCACACGACATAACAAGCTAATTTAACCTAATCCATCTAAAGTCGTTATTTACCTGGCACGCATCTTTTCCAAAACTGCTTAAAGTACAGATGACTGTGTTTTTAAATCCATCAAGAAACTTTCTGTACAAATCTTTGCACATATTCCATCGAATCACAGGCAGGTATGCGCATTGCAGTCTTTTGATATGGTATAAAAGTCTTCTTGGACGAAGCCCCATCCCATTACAAGCCCGATAGGGCAGTTTCGAATTTCACCATCTACTTTCTTGGTTGGTAACTTTACGTAGTCGACGTGTACTGATTTTGAAATAGAAGTCTCTAGCTGTAAAATAATTTTTGGGAGTTTTTGCGCTTTTAATGCCTATAGTTAAACATCCATTAATTAAGAGAACTCTGGAACTGAACACTCATGCCCTCTCTGAATTGAGAACCTTGGATTTGCAACTATAAAGCCATAAATTGTTAATGATGTAACGTGAATTTTTCAAAGGAACTTGCACATGCCATTGTGATACTAAGGGGTTTTTTTTTTCGATGTATAGAACTTTAAGCTGCAATAAAACAACGATGTATTATTGGATTGACATGAATTTTATTTGTCTGAAAGATAATCTTGTGGCATTACATTTTAAATATGATTTCTGGCATATGATCGCCACGGCTGGCGCGGATGTACTCCAATTTGGACGTCCAATTTTCGATGACTTTTTCCAACATTTGTGGCAGTATATCGGCAATAACACGGCGAATGTTGTCTTCCAAATGGTCAAGTGTGGCTTATCCGCATAGACCAATGACTTTACATAGCCCCACAGAAAGTAGTCTAGCGGTGTTAAATCACAAGATCTTGGAAGCCAATTCACAGGTCCAAAACGTGAAATTAAGCGGTCACCAAACGTGTCTTTCAATAAATCGATTGTGGCACGAGCTGTATGACATGTTGCGCCGTCTTGTTGAAACCACATCTCCTGGACATCATGGTTATTCAATTCAGGAACGAAAGAGTTAATAATCATAGCTCCATACCGACCACCATTGACTGTAACGTTCTGGCCATCATCGTTTTTGAAGAAGTACGGACCAATGATTCCACCAGCCCATAAAGTGCACCAAACAGTCAGTTTTTTTTGATGTAACGGTATTTCGACATACACTTGAGGATTAGCTTCGCTCCAGTTTTATTTGTTGACGTAGCCATTCAACCAGAAGTGCGCTTCATCGCTAAACAAAATTCACTTATGAAAATCGGGAACAACGGCAATCTCGTTTTGGATTTGGATTTTGTAAGCACGTAAACCAAGATCCTTCCGCAAAATCTTCCATAAAGTGGATGGACGCAGATCCAATTCGTGTGCTGGATGGCAGATAGACTCATTCGGGTCTTCGCTCTACAGCAGCAATAGCTTCTTCTGTACGTACAGCGTCTCTGGGGATGCGAGTTATCAATAAGAGTAAACGTGGTGCGAAAAAGTTCCATGGTTAATCGAATTAACTGTGCTGATGGACGATTTTGTCGACGATAAAATGGACTTAGTACGCGATACGTATTCCGCACAGAACCATTATTTTCGAAATAAAATTGCACTACTGCAAGCAAGCAACAATAAGAATTCCATTAAGAATATGTTCGTATGTTTTTAGCCCATTATTCTACAGTATTGAAACTATGTGCAATAGAATTGCAATGTTGAAGATATCACGAGTTGACAGACGAATAAACCAGTTCTGCAACGGATGGACAAAAAAAAGTAGTATTTTATACCATAAAAAGAAGAAAGTCCACTTTATAAAATATGAATTGCTTCATATAATTATTCAGGAAAATTAGGGGGAAAGCGGGGTCCTGGTCGCCTTGAATCGTGAATCTTCATGAGAGGTGTTGAGTGAAGATGACGACATTGTTTAGGTCTGCTGCAGATAAAGTGAGGATCAAATGACGGATCACCAGTAGAGGAAACTGCAATTAAAGAAGAAAAGGTCTTTTTTATAGCCACAGAGTGGTTTCAAATCGGGTGAGCTGGATGGCCAATTCCAGAGTTCCTTTATTCTTCTTACATAAATAAACCCCTACATCCATTAATGATATAGGCTCTAATATTTCTGTTATTCACAGTTGATCTGAAAAGGTATAAGGTGATAAGTAGACTAGATGACTGCAAAGCTCTCAGAATAACATAGCTACGATGTCATTATGGTGAGTGAGGTGTATGTCAACAGATATTTAAACACAGCCCAGTCAACAATCAGAAACCCTGGGTTAATTTTCCACACTAAAAAAAAAATTGACAATATTTTGTGTCTAACTGCCTGGTGTATATTTGATTACGCTTCTATAATGTGGTCCTCCCATTTATGAGGTGCATATTAATAAATTAGAAAACATGGCATTCAAGTTGGATATCCTGTTTCCAACTCGAGCTGCGATCATGCAGAATTGCTCCAGCGATTTCACTTACATCCTTTGGCTCCCAGAAAGTATTTGCCCCTATAGTATTTGTATATAAATTATATAATGGCCTTATAGATTGTTCAGAGCTACTTCAACAAACAAAAATTGAAGTTTTTAATGCGCTTTCTTCACGAACTACCTCTACCAATGTTAGAACGAGCGTCAAAGAATTTCATCCGGTGTGAAAGCAAGACTGACGTGGATATTTTCAACACCAGTCTGCTTGTTCTTTTGATACCGTCTCCATTTGGAGGTTGACGATCCAAAATTATTAATGTACTCTTGAATCTTCCGCCTCTCATGATATTTCCCAAATATAAAGCTTTCCGTTTTTAAGAGACAACTCTCGCAACCATATAGCAAAACAGGAATATTGTAACAGTTCCTGAATACTTATAAGTGTTCGTCGAACCTGCTCAATTGTGGATTTTACTTTAATTCGGTAGTGGCTGCTTTCATTCACTGTAGCACCCATGTATTTGAAGGATCACACCTCTTCCACTAAAACAAAAACTGTTAGGTTTGTCTTAGTATGTGTAGACCAAGACGTTGGCAATTGTGCGTGATACGGTTCATCATATCCTTTCGTTCCATTAAGATGTCCGAGAGTACTACTCTGCCATCCCCATATCAGGTGTTAGTTATTGCGTTTCCATTTATTTTAATTTCTTTTGTTTCTTCGTCAAATACCTCATTAACTATTTCTTCAGAGTATGACATTTACGGATAACTCTCCATGCTAAAGGGTCAGTAATATCTGCTGTCCCTTCGTAGTGTCATGTCCATATTGAATAGTCATTATTGCTATATAGTTTTTATTGTTATCATATTCTTATTTTTTCACTTATGCTTGTCATTATGTTTATCTTAGTATGTAGAATTCATCATGGTGTGCGAAAACAATGTCTTGTAATTGAACCTTCCGTAGGCAATAAAGCATTATGATAATTAATATGTAGACAACCGTTAAAAATAGGTAAAGGGAAACATATAATAATAAACAGGGATTTAGTATTTTATGACTCTTTTGTAATAATCTCAAAATGTCAAAAATGAAATAACATGATAATATAGATATTTATATAATACCAACTATGCATAGGTTATGAATATGGTCTTACCACTAATAAATTTTAATTTTGTTACCTGTAACAATGCGATATCATTTTTTAGTGTCTTCAGATTAAATCCTGGGTGAATATAATGATCTTCCACTTTCACAATTTGCGGATGTGGAGTACTCATTGCTGCCACAACAAACATCTCGGGAAAAATGCAATGGGCTGCGGTCAGCACAATCACGTCACTTATCAAAGTTCCTCCGCATTTTCTTTCGTAACCTTTTAATTTGTATGAAGATTGTTCAACAATGCATACCTAGAAATGGTGTTCTGGCAGGAAAATTAATGTCAATAGTGACGTAATCGGAGCCGGTTTTTTAAAATTAATTAATAAGTTAATATGGTAAAATATTTGTGGTAAACTACAACGTGAGATAATGAGTAGTTTGCAATTGAATCTTGTGCATATTGCATAAGATTTTTAAATATGCTAACAGAACGAGCAATCATATGTACTACGTAAATACGTTACCATGAAAGGATAATCATCTGTGGAACAGTCGAATCCGTTGTATATCCTGTTTTCAGAATCAACACCATCGGGATTCGTTTGATTGGCCGTTTCCAAAGCATTAGCAAATAAAACATTCGCTAGAATAGTAGCGCACGTAATTTTAAGGAAAATCGGATAAAACATAATGTATTTGACTAACATTTTGTGACAGCTGGCGGGGTGGTGCATTGTTTGGTAGTTTAGTTTAGCATCAAGCACGGATATCTCTCTTTTTCTCATTCCCTCTAACAACCTGTTTGCGTCGACTCCTTTATATAGGCCTTTCTTGAAATTTTCTGTTTGCTTTCTTTCTTGTTTTTAGGTTTATTTTAATGTCTAGATTTCTTAGAACGTTTTTAAGTTTTCCCACTGCTTCGAAGGTCATACGGATTCTTCTCTTGGTTTTTGCAGTTTGGTGCTACTTGGCCTTAAGTGAAAATGATTTTCATTCTACTCTATACGCGCTTACATACTGATTGATTGCGATAGAGCTAAAAGATGGACATGAACATTGTTGAGGGACTGGATTGGTGAAAGGTGAAGAGGGGTTCAAATTCTTTGGTTGTTTAGACCTTTCTATGGATTCTCGGATTTTTCTTTGACTGTAGAATTGATGACGGGCAAGAATTTTAGTTAGGCCCATTTGGTTTGGTTTGTCTTTAATGGATCCAAACATATCTAGAGATTTTTTGACAAGTGGTAAATCTGGTTTAAACATTATGTTTCTTAAGAACCTTTCATATGCAGTCACGTTTTGAATGAAAAAAAGGACCACAGTGGCAAATGTGCGTTAGCTTTCAGACTCCCTTTATTTTTAGGGTTGTGGTGATTCGTTTTTTTTAATGTACGCTTAATATCTCTAATGCCTTATTTGAGTTGAGGTAATTTTACGGATTTGTACACAAAAGAAATAACCTGTGACTTCTGGATATTGGTGTGACAATGCATTAAGGTTCTGTAAACTGGATGGCCCAATGTTAGGGCTGATTTTCTAATAATAAGAATATTTCAATTCTAAAAAGTAGATTATGGTGTACACAGTTTAAAAAGTTAAAGTGTCTAGAGCATTCTTTTCAAAATTTTCCAGAAATATATTTTCGATGCCTATTGATAATGGAAAACCCATTGTTGTTCCTGTCATATGTCATATGTCCCAATTAAAGAAGAATTGGTTTCAGATTATCTGATTTGAATATATTTGAAATTATGTCGAGAATTCCAGAAATAGGAAACTTATTAAAGATCAAAACTTATCGGAATATAGTTCGGATCTAATGTAGTGGTGCTAACAATAGGCCGAACGGGTTGTCATGGTTTGTGAAAGCGCAGAACACGGAGTCAGTAGAAACTAGGAATTTTACAGTCGTGAGGGGTGAAATATTTTTTCTAGGATTCTAATAGACAAGCAGCTTTAATAACAAATTTAAATTTAGGCTGCATAGAACGCCTACCATTTTTAAAGTCAAGAATCCGTTTGTATGAATATTTTGAGTTTTTTCTTGAAAAATTCATGTGGGAGTAGTCGCCAAATAGAAAGAAACTTTTAACGTTAGTAGCAAAGTTGAGTCAGTTGACTTTGACATTCAAAATTGAGAATAGGAGTATGCAATGCGGTAACGACTGCTTCTATACTGAGAAATTTGTAATATTTCAGTAAGTGTGAGATGCGTACAATACTGCGAAAACCTAATTTAGCGGTGCTTAAGTGAATGATATTGATGATGATGATACTAAATTTGTTGAAAGTAAGTGCCTAATCGACTTTTACCTCTCAAACTATACATTTACCGCCAATATTTTTACTACCTGACTTCCTTAAATTCAAATACTATTCAACCTGAACACGATTGTCCATACATTTTCCCAGGTACTCAGTATACGCAATTAGATTACTCTCAATTGATCGATTTGGGAAAAACCACGATGTTCTGGAATAATTTATTGTTGATAAGAGGACCTTTTTTACGAAATAAGTCGGTAAACCAGTTTATTGGGGTTCCTAAGGGTATAACGCTCTCCAACTGGTATTAAATCACATTTGTTACATCAGTTAGATGGGCGGACGCTTTCGAGTTTTTATTTATTGCGTTTAACTTTGTTTTTTAATTCAGTCAATATCGTTTCTATAGGATTCAAATTGCATTGATAAGGTGATAGTGAAATTACTGAATGGTGGTGGTCATTCAGTCATCAGTCTTTAATGTTTTTTACTGAAAGCGGCAAGCACCTAACCTTCCCTAGAACCACAATGTAAAATGTCCTTTTTCCTTTAGATGCCGATACATTCAAAATGCAGTTTGATGAAGAATTTAAATTTTGTTTCGAATTTACAGTTAATGAAATTTTTGCTTTAGTTATTTTATTAATAATTAACAATAGTTTAATGTAGTATAAATGAACATTTTTTTATTGCATAGCCTTTTTTGCAATTTTTAAAGGTGGTGATCCTCTCAAATCAAGTAATATAAAAGTTCCTTGAAAAAAGTAACCCTGAAGCGTCTTATGTCGGACGCCATTGTGCAAATAAAAGAGAAATATTATAATGCTATTAAAAAATGCAGGATATATTTTTATTTAATTTCTTATTGTGTTTTTAAGCAACAATGTACTTTATTCTTTTTAATAAAGGCCTTATTAAATCACTCACGCATTTATTCAGTTATAATTTTATGTGTTTATTCTTCAATGTGCAACTATATCTTCTGTAAACTTCAAAACGAGTTAATAAAACACTGTGTGAAACGCTATTATAATTAAGGGTAAGTCGTAGTTCTAGCATAAACTACAATCTTGTCTACAAAACCAGACTGGAGCGTGCATCTGGAAAAAAATATTTCTTAATAGGACATCTTCCTTTTAGAATGTTTGATATGAGCTTACACTTTAAAAAATTCCCAGCATTTCTGGAAAAGTTATTGCAGATTGCAATGAAATATTGCTAAATTATTGTGTGAATTGATACTAACGGGTGATTCAATAAGAGTTTCCACATTACAATCTGCAATATTTTTGAAACGCCACTGTATTTGTTTATTATCATATGAGATTTCTAACCTCAAAACATAAACAAAATTAGTCATGGAGCAATATACGACTGAACAACGTGTAAAAATTGTGCAAGCCTATTATGAAAATCGACCTTCTGAGAAAACAATTTGGAATGTGGTTCAAAAATTTGAGCAAACTGGACCTGCAACTAATCTCAATGTCCCTCAACGTGCTCGTGCAAGTCGGTCAGATCAAAATATTGCCATTGTTCGCGAAAGTGTAGCCGAAGATCCAAAAACATCGATTCGTCATCGATCGCAGCAAGTGGGCCTTACGTATTCAACCACACAGCGAATTTTAACAAAAAGCTTGCATCTACACCCATATAAAGTCCAAATAACTCAGGAGTTGAAACCTCGAGATCATCAACAGCGCCGCGTGTTTGCATAATGGATACGAGAACAAGGGATTCATTTTTCAACGAAAATCATCTTTAGCGATGAGGCACATTTTCACGTTGGTGACTTTGTAAACAAACACAATGCTCGTATTTGGGGATTAGAAAATCCAAGATAGATTGTCCAAAAAGCAATGCATCTTCAAAAAGTGACTGTTTGGTGCGCATTTTGGTGCGGAGGATGGAGCTGCTTATCACACATCCAGAGAAATGATGCAATTGCTGCGGGGCAAGTTTCCTGGTCGGATTATCTCATGTAACGGCGATATCAATTGGCCGCCACGATCATGTGATCTTACTCCCCTAGATTTTTTTTTAGGGAGTATCTAAAAAACAGAGTGTATAGAAATAAACCAAACACTATTCCAGTGATGAAACCGCAGATTAGATTCGAAATAGCCGGCATAGAACCTGAATTGTGTCAAAAAGTGATGGGAAATTTTAATAAATGAATTACGTCATGCCATATTACTCGTGGGGGTCATTTGAATGACATTATCTTTCATACCTAATTGTAATACACTAATCTAAAATAAATAAAAAAAATAAAATAAAATAAATAAATAAAATATTTTTATATTCTTCCGAGTTTTTTTTATTATGTTAATGTGGAAACCCTTTAGTATTTAAAGCCCGATGGACACGATGCAGTTTCTACATGTATTGTTAGCAATTAAAAATTGCTGTTAAATATTTTTAACGGGGAATTTCTTGAGGTAGCCACCAAGTAATTTTTGCTAGCAAAATGTTTTTTTTTTTAATTTTTATAAAATAAACGACACTTTTTAGCGTTTATTAATGTTAATTGTGTTACATTCAGCTAATTGTGTATTGACTTGTTTTATAATAGTTTTTAATTTTCTTGGTTACATTTTCCAATACTTACAGTTTTTTAACAAAAATGTTCATTGGTACTTTTCATAACTATATTTTGGGAGGCGAAAGCTTCTGCAATTACTAGACTTGCGGTGAAACAATGAGAGTCCTGTCTATACGAGGTGCTTGAAGAACGTTTTTTCCACTTGGATGTTTCCAGTGTGATATCTAGTACTTCAAAATTACATTTACACTTTTAGTCACATTTCATGAATTCGACTTTATTTATGTTTTCAACAGAGGTGAAACAATAGGTTTAATAAAAACAAATTGTGCAAATAGCGCCTAAAGAACAAAAACGCTAAAATACTTACAGAATTATACTAAGGACGCCGATCCGTCTGCTGTAATTTAGGATAATATTAACTCTGCACCCGCTAATGTTTTTAAAACCCCATTCTACACCTTAATTTTCTTTTTGCCTGGAAATTTAATGAGATTTACACATATTTTGAGAAAATACTGCCGTAAAAATGCAGCATCTAAACATTGACGACCTGCCAGCGGCCATGTTGGTTGTTGGAAGCTACAAGGTCTTATAGGTTGAACGTCAGGAAATGCAATTAGAGCTGCCATTGGTTAAAAAGGAAATTTCAAATCTCGCACATGCGCATATTGAACAGACCTTCTCAAAATTTTGTTACGTTGTTGCTTCACGAGTTCCTGTACTATTAGCATAGGCAGGCCCTTTATATGCAATATATGCTCTCATTCATACCAAAACAATTTCATTATGCCTCTGTCACATCGTTCCTCCCTTTGGTAAGGCGCAAACTATTTTAAAATTTCTAAGGTGTCGGTACTACTTAAAAAAAAACATTGATAAA